CAATCAGAGAGGATTTTATGTCTATCAATAAATGTGTCTAATCTGTTATTAAAGAGTTTTTCCAGAATTTTGGAAAACTGTGACAACAGAGGAACCGGTCTATAATTTGTGAAGTTGTGCTTATCACCAGATTTATACAGAGGAATAACCTTTGCTAGTTTCATATTGTTAGGGAACTGCCCAAGTCGAAACGGCATGTTAAAAATATGGGTTAATGGTTTGCATATCCCTTCAATTACCCATTTAACAGTTGTCATAGTGATGCCATCACTATCACTAGATGTTTTGTTACCACATTTATTCACTATCTCTATAATTTCCTTTTCAACTATTGGCTTCAAAAACATAGAACTCATGTTCCTTTCGATTGTATTATTATTTATAGTGCTGGATGTATCATCTGTACAAATGCTTCTTGCTAAACCAGGACCAACATTCACAAAGAACCTATTAAACTTATCTACTACATCCTCCAATCTATTGACCGGTGTATCATTATCCATAAAATATTGAGGGTAGTTACTCTTGCTGGAACTGTTTCTAATCAATTTATTTAATATATTCCAAGTACCTCTCATGTTATTTTTATTATCCTCTAATACTTTAGAGTAATATAGTTTCTTACATCTCTTTAAAATCTCAATTAATTTATTCTTATATGACTTATATTTTTCTTCCGCCATCTTTGATCTGTCCTTTATGAATTCCTTATATAACGCATTCTTCTTTTTACATGCATTCTGTAATCCCTTACTCATCCACGGTTTCCCACTGTAATTCCTTTTGTTTTTATACTGCTTACGAGGACAGTTCCTGTCATATACTCTCTTAAATATATTTAAAAATTGCTCATATGCTTTATCTAAGTCTTCCTCTCTGTAAACTGTTAAAGAGAAGGTGCAAAGCCCCTCCTCAGACTTTATGTTAGGAGCAGGATGTTAGATGTGTGGTACTCAATGCAAAGTCTACTTTTTTCTGTATAATTTATTTGCTCTAGGTCGTATGATACATGTACATTCGTCTTTGTATACATCATACAAAAATGAAAAAAAAAAATTATAGGGTCAAACACCAAGTGATATCAACACAAATTTATCTAATCATAATACAGCATGCCATGTGCATTTGCAGGTCTCACCTGAGGGTACCTTTAGGTCAATGCTATTGCAGTAGTCAGTGTAGCAACAGTGGATGTTGAGGAAGCCTTCTGCACCGAGGCAGTAGAACGGCTGTCCAGGGGGCACGAGCTTGTCCCGTGTGATGCAGATACGGATGTGCTGCTCTTGCCCATCAATGAAGGAGGTGGAAGCCATGCAGGCCCCATCGGTCTCACACTGAGAGCCAGTTTTCTCACACCTGGTAGTGGTGCAGTTACACCAAAGGGCTGCAGAGACAGATGGGGGCAGAGGAAGCAAAACTGTATGAAATATAACTTTGATCAGCACACACTGCACAAAGATAGTGGGTGTACATCTTGTGTAAATTTACTGTTACGAAACATATTAAAATGCTGTATTTTGTTCTCAGCTCAACATACTGTTGTACATATTGATACTAGGCAGGTTTTTGGTATTTAAAATGACAAAATAAAGTATATCAACCATACAAAATATGGTTGTTTTTTTAAGCGTACTGCTGATGCCCACTAAGAAAGTCACTTTCGGCTTTTCCCGTTTAGGGGTCGCCACAGCGAATCGTCACACTTATGACTCGCATGTTGACATTTGGCACGTGTTTTACGCCAGATGCCCTTCCTGACGCAACACTGACTTGAACCCGGGCTGCAGCGGCGAGAGCTACTCAACAAACTGAAATTTTTTAAATAAACTGTGGGTGGTGGTGAGGTACCTTATGAAACACAAATGCACTTCTTCAACATCTTACTTTTGGGACTCCAGTAAAGATAACTGAAAAATGAGGCATGAAGTTTATGGGTTGACCAGGGCTGGCACTGGATACCCCCAGAATCTGACTGGCCACTCCTGGTGCCACACCTGCCAGAATCAAAATGTGATGCTTATCAGTATTAATGAATGAAAATGAAAAAGAAAGATATACTGTTGCCTTAAATACAACTAACATTTTACTGATGTTTTGTAATTGATATTGGTCAAATTAGTTTTATTTTATATCATACGTGAGGTATGATATTAGTATTCATTTCTTCAACTGTGCTGTTGTGGAGTACTTGATTCTCCTCAGTGGGTGGAACCACTGTGCAACAGTGATGTCACTGGCTGGGAGCAGAAAAGGGGGACAACCAAAGTTAGCTAAAGAAAACACTACATGTGCCTCATTGTTACACAAAATACATTATTGGATTCTTAATAATGTATGGTTTGTTATTTGATAGAACTAAGCGTTAAATTTAGTGTTTACATGTATTTCAAACGCACCAACCCTCTGAGTCTGTGCCCCAGCCTGACCACCCCATTTATAATTTTCTAGATTCACCCCTGTAAGAGTTTATGCATGTAGGAGTACAGATTAAATGAACAGCTGTGGCTGTTATTGGACTAACAAGACACTCAGACTTCCTGTGTGAATCTGAGTAATGTTATTAAGACACAGACATAATGTGACATTCCAGTAATTCTGAAAGGTCCCCAGTGGATTCTCAGTAGAAAATAACCTTCCTAGAGCCTGTGTTATGAATGTGTTGGTTGGAAAACCCACACACATGCAGCCGAACTTGTATCATCTACATCAAATGAAGGAAACAGAGTTAATGCGTTACAACATCTTTTGTGGCACTGACTCACACAGTGCCAACACCTACTTGGCAGATGAAGGGAAGCAGAACAACCATAGAAAGATTAAGGAAGCTAAATGCTGATTAAACACAAAAAGCAGACTGGCTTTTCAGACTTTCCATAGCTATGAAACACTGGTCTATTTTTATAAAACCACACCAGCTGTAAGTAAAGTTTTAGAGGTGAAAATAATGAAGCCAAGGGACTGACCAATGCCGTTCTAACACTGTAACAAACAATAGTAAATGGTGTTTTCTGAATATTTACCTCTAAAACAAAAACACTATGAGCGGTTAAAATGAACTACAAAATAAAAAAAATGTTTCCCTTTGAAACATACAACAGTTCATATCACAACTGGGAGCTCAGAGTACCGGGTCATCTTTACTACAGCTGTTCTGTTTTCAGTTTAACACAGCAGGATTGAGTGGCCCTGCTTTGTGGCAACATGTCTTACAGCTCAAGCAACATGTTGATGTTTCACACTTTTACATCAAAGGTACTCAATCGAGTCACCTCAATGTGCACAATAACTGTGTGGAAATACAAAGGGAGTGCTGTAGTTCCAGTACCACATGTTCCTGTGCTAGAAGCAAAGAGAGGGAACAGCACAGTTCAGTTTCTATTTTAACAGAAAATTAATCAGCAACTATTCTAATATTTGACTTTCATTTTTTGCACAGACCACCACTGAAACTAAAGATTCTCTAGCTTCAAATTCTCAAATGTGAAGATTTGCTGCTTTTCCATTTATCATTGAAAACTGAATATCTTTGCAGTTTTCAGACTGTAAAATTATTTGTTGGCAATTAAAAACAATTATTGATACACTGCAAAGACCGCCAACTATTTATATTATAATGAAAATGAATGTTCGTTAAAGCCCTATAGTTAGATCAGTACTGGATTTAGAAAATGTTTGTATTAAACAGATTTTTACAAACATTCTCCAAAGGTTTTCAACTGAATTTACAGAGAATATGGATGGTAAATAAGGATGTTAAAAAGCACTTTCACACTATGAGAAGCCACACATTAACCAGCTGTTTATATTACATATAAGTGGGAACATATGCTATAAATAATAATAAAGAACACTGGTGAGAACAGTGAGTTAATATAAAAGGCATCCCAGGCTTGCAAGAGAAATACACAGCTGCAAAACTAAGCAAGACCATATAGCACAGTAATTCACAGTGGGCTACATGACAACAGTTACCTGGACACACGTTAACCTGCCATTTCAGACTAGCCCAACTAGCTCGACAGCAACAGGGTTATCACTTATATGAAATGTATTTAAACAGCAGGCCTACTCGTGTGTAGAGGGCTGGGCAGGTTTTCAATAGGAGTCAATTCAGTTTCTCGATCGGGTAGGCTAGCTAACCTAGCTAGCGTTAGCTAGCGGCTAAGTCCACATTAGATCGCCTCCATGCTGCTGTCTGTGGACCTGAGGGTTGTATGAACAAAACAAACTATTAAGTTACTCACCCTCACAGCTTCTGTACAGGGCAGCATGAACAACCACGACGGCTAACGAAATCCGCAGGTCAGCCATGACCAATAAAATCCCCGTTCATCGCATTACCACATTTAGTTACGTTAGATGTGGCGAGGCGTGATGATGACAGCTAACCAGGCTGTCAGGGAGCACAGACTAACGGTACATATGAACATGATCCACCAGCAGGCAGCAGCACAGTCAATATCTATCTTGTATGTCTTTTTTTTAGTTATTCTGTTTCCCTTAGTTTGTTCCAAGCCCACCTTTACTCGTATTACATCTACCTTTACACATTGTGTCTGTGTTTGTAGTTGTTTTGCATCCTCTGTTACTTAGTTTGCATCTCTTTGTAGCCATTGTATTCACTTTCCAACAAGAAATATAGTAACGTTATTACCAATCACTGGTGTCCCTGGGTCCCTTCAGTAATCCATCCATAGTTAACATACAGGTGTTGTCACCTTATAACACAGTTTTCACAACCAGCAGATACAGGGGAGCATTAGCCTTCACAAATTCCTAAGAAGAATGTCTGGTTCTTCAGCAGCTAAATGTAATTACAAATAAATTTAGGACGATGAAAGACTATTTCATTCAAACATTCTGCTGTTTGAGTCTAGGAAGGTGGTGTACAATTGCTTTGTCAGTGCTTTTCTGCTGAACATAGCTGCAGCTGCTGATGAGAATGGGAAACCAAAACAATGGGCAAAAACAGACTGAATTACTGCATAGACTGCAGTGCAGGTTCATCACTATGAGCACTTTATTTTACAAGATATTTGACATTACACATAGATATTGGATCCATAGTAGGTCAAAGTGTTTATTTGTCATATGCACAGTTAGGAAACGTGTTTCCCTCTACAATGAAATTCTTACTTTGCCATCCACATGAATGCCACAAAATACAAATGAAATATAAAGTAGATAAATAAGTAACACAAATTCTAAGGCACTTTAAGCAGCAACAAATGTAGCAATATAATAAACAATATATAAGAATATAACAGAATGTATGCTGCATGGGAGCAGCATGTGCAGCAGAGTCATTTTGCAATTATGCATGTAACAAATAAGTAACACAAAATCTAAGACACTTTAAGCAGCAACAAATGCAGCAATATAATAAAAGAATATAAC